ATGAGTTTGCAACCTAACCATGGCTCTAGTTCTCTAAAGTTCAGGATATGGGTTACTCAAAGAAGGTCCATGGTTATGAGTCTGGATGCACCGCGCAGAAGCCTTACCTTTGAAAGGGTTGGCGTGTGTGGATGGGACCCCGCGAGTTTAACTTGCTTCCATGGTTTGGTGAATTCAACAATCTCGGATGTACCCTTCGTTGCCAGGAGCGTTCGATTGGGTAGATGGAGCATGAATTCCCAGAGTGTTATGTCCATATGTAGAACACATATGGGTTTCAGAAAAAAGGGAAAAACTCAATCAAGAAGTAAAATCGAGCAAACAGTACTAGAAAACTAGTCGAAAAAAGAAAGTAGATTTCTTGCTCGGTAGTGGAAGAATTTTGCGCAAGAAAATAGTGTCATCACCAGACACTGGCACCGTATCCAGACGACAAGCTTGTCGCCAGGAGAAGGCGCCATCATTTGGCGCCGACACTGTTTTTCTCAACGCTAATTCCTACATGCCTCAGCAGCATTCTATTCTTGACTTTGCCAGTTTTTTTCGTAGCATTATTTCGATTTTAGCTGTGAAAGATATTTCCCTAAATTCCTACTATGTTTTTGACTCATTACCGATGGTCTTTCCAATGAAAACCTTTCTATGCTTATGACAATAATGTTAATCAAAATTACGCAGATGAAATACTTTGAACTTTTTGAGTCTCATCCACTCATTCTAAGTAATTGCCAAAATAAATTTTAGTAATTAAAAAAGAAATTCATCCCCAATGCTGTCGCCAAAGAACTGTAGGGAATATTTCAAGCTATCCCACACTTAAGCCCCACTGTGATCATACACTTAAGCATGGTGGCGTCCAAAGGGAAAGAAGATAGAGTAAAAGAGTCGCTAACAGGTTTAAGGAACTTGTGAACCGTTCACAGGGTGAAGGTTACACCCGTTAACGATCCAGGAGATCGTTAACACCAATAGGTCTAGAACCAGGACTTAAAGTTCGGGGATGAAGATACAAATCCAACCTAAAAGAGACTGAACTTGCCCTAATAATAGGCCTCTTCTTTATTCTTCTCGTATTCATGTGCGTTTTCTGGCTGACATGCGATCAATAAGTTAATCCTGAACTTGTTTAGTCTATGTTTGTTGAATATTAATGAACAAACAAATATATTATTGGCGATCACTTGAATTATAATCATATTAGCCTAAACAAGATTATTAATTATCTTATTATGTGTGATTACAAGTATAAATTCCTTTTAAACATGCATAAAAGGCGTGATCAAGCAATAACAATTAATATATCAAGTATTATAATAATAATCAAAATAATATTCATAATCAAAATAATCATGTTAAAGCATAATAGTATTAATAGCAAGATCCTAGGCATGATATTAACAAGATTAATAACAAACCCTAGCATGTCACTAAACATCAAAGATCAAAGCTTTAGCCCTAACATGATATTAAAAACGAAATAGGAAGCATCATAATAATCATACTTGATATTAGAAATATTAGTTAGCCCTAAACATGATACTAGGAAGCAATAAAACATTCTAACATGAAACTAGGAATCAATAAAATAATCTAAGCATGATTTCTATATCAAAAGATCAATAAAACAATTAAAGTATTTACTTCGATGCCTCGTAACAATAAAACAAAATACACACGTTAGTAACTTCAAGGAAAATAACTAATAAAAATAATAAAATAAAATAATTGAAATAGGGATTTGGGACCAAACCCTCAGAAATTATCAACCTTTCACATCTAGGGTGAAAACAACTTCAATTTTGGCTAGGTGTTTATAGAGCAAATGTATAAGGAATTTTGAGAGAGGGAAGGTTTAGAAAAAGAAGAGAGAGAGAGAGAGAGAAAGCTTCTAGCTTTTAGAGAGAGAGAGATTGTAGATGATTGTGGGTATTGATGATTTTAAAATAGGGAGATATAACCCTATTTATAGGAAAAAATAGCACGAGATCGAAGAAAATCATATTCAGAATAAAATACCTCCTGTCACAAACGACAAGAGTCAGCGCCAAAAGACAAGCTCGTCGCCAGGCGGCGAAGGTTAGCGCTTGGCAACGACTCAGTCGTCTCGTGCTGGTCCAAAAACCAACGCGATTTTCCACGCGTAATTACCTTTAACACCGATTGCAGGTAATTATGCGTCCGAGCAGTTTTTGAAATAAGATTTTATATATTTTATTTTAAATAAAACATCTTTTAAAAATAATAATTAATAGTCCCTCCTCTAGATCATTGGGCCTAATCTAATTTAATCCATAACTTCCTCATAATTTATCGGAATTGGGCTTATAATATCTCATCGGAAAGCTCTTTTCGAGCCCAATCCAACTACACTATTATTGGACCCTTATTATGGACCAAACCATATTGGACTGGCTATTTTCATAAATAGGAGTAAGAAAAGAAATATTTTTGAAAACAGAAAGAGATATATTTTAATAAAAGCATCCTCATCACTAGACTTTCCACACTTTCACTTTGTTCGACAATCAAATGTTGTGAAAGGTATTCATCACTATATTTGGTTTTGGGAAGACACATTTGGGTGTCTACAAGCCACTATAAGAAAAAGACATGGCCGCAAACACAATTAGCAGAACAAAACAAACAACACACACGTTAGCAAAAAGCTGAGTAATCATCACATATCAATATATAAAGAACAATAGAATAATTCATATAATTAACTCTGTTAAACAATATAGTTCAAAACTACATTACACATATACACCTCAAGGGTTAAAAACTTTATACTATGTCCAACCTCGAATTAACTCATACCCAATAAGTGTACCATGCTCTTTGTTCTATACCTAGCCTTGGACATGAGTAATTCAAATAACAAACCTACAAGATAAAAACTGGAATACTCTCAATAACTAGAAAAACACCTTGAACCAGACCCCATACGGGTCAATTCCCACTATAGGGGACCATAGAGAATTAATAAATAAAGATTATACCTAATTCTTAACTCATGATCATTATCTTATTACCAACATGCCAAGGACTAAGGTCTATAACACCGACCCTCAAACCAATAACAAAATAATATTCTCAACCTTTTGATCTCATACATTGATCAAATAATCATGCACAACTAATTTATATTATCTCAACAATGGCACATATTCCCAAATAATGTAGCAATTTGATTAAAAAAAACATCTCAACTCTTAAGGAAATAAAACTAGAACCCAAAAATTATTATTTCTCAACCCAAAAATAATACTCTACATTAATAGTCATAAAACCTCAATAAAACAATACTCCCTACATAAAGACCTTTAAAACCATAGAAAAATAATAACACGGTCAATCAATGTAACAAAAATATACGATACTCAAATTCAATCAAACCATATAAAATCATAATAATTAATTATATATACAGAGTACGAATAATAAATCATATCACACATAATATGAAATATAACGCAAACATCTCCAAGTTTCGTGTGATTACATATAAAAAAAACATATGAATATATGATTCCAATGCATGAATTTATATAGTGTGATTACCTTATAATAGTTATTAGGCAAAAATTAAGCAAGATACGTACTCCACCTTCACATTCAGCTATTCACGCACATAACTTGAAAGTTGGGAGAAGGTAATTGATTGCTCAATTTAATCATGGAGATTATAAGTATTAATTACATATATGGGATTGCTATAAATCCAAGGACATAAGGTGAAGAGAACGAATTTTAATATTTAAACTTATGGTAGCAAAAATATTATTAGGGGTAAAATAGCTATATACGCTTAGAAATATAAAATCCTCTATAAATTAAAATAGGGTTTTAATACCTTCCGAATTCTAAAATAAAAATATGAGATTAGGAAAGTTATTTAATAAATAAAAATAAATAATTTTTCTTCAAAGTATATTATATAAAATCACAAAATATTCGGCTATTACAATCTACCCTGCTCAAAATAAGTTTCGTCCCGAAACTTAAAGTTAGGAAAATTCGGGTATTACAATCTACCCTCCTTAAAACTAGTTTCGTCCCGAAACTTGGAAAACGAAATTAAAGTTTTTCCTCACTTAGTATAATATTGTTGTACTTTTTGTCATACCTTTACCTTTTTGTGTCTCATTGAGAACACAATAACTCAAAATAATCGTTAAAATTGTGAAAACAATACAAAAATAACTGAAAATATAGGGAAAAAGTGGGAAATTCTACCGCATTCTATCCCCCTAAAAGAAAATGAGTTATTTCCCCGTAACTCAACATACCTGAAACAACTCAGGGTATTTCTTTTTTATTTCTTTTTCTGCCTCCCAACTGGCTTCCTCATATTCTTAATTAGACCATAGCGCTTTCACAATCGTAACATTGTTATTGCATGAACTACGCACTTTACTGTAAAGAATTTTGGCAGGTCTCTCTTCATAGCTTAAACTTTGGTCTAGCTCAAAGGTTTCAAGTTGTAGCACATGAGATTTATCAGGTATATACCTTCTTAATTGAGAAACATGAAAAACATCATGCACTTTGCTTAGCTGCAAAGGTAAGGCTAACCTATAAGCTACCTTGCCTATCCTTTGCAGAATTTCATATGGACCAATGTATTTTGGGCTCAGTATTCATTTCTTTCCAAATCTCATTACTCCTTTCTTTGGTGATACCTTTAATAACACCTTGTCACCAACTTCAAACTCCTCTTCTCTACGCTTTAAATCTGCGTAGCTCTTTTTGCAATCTTGAGCTGCTTGAATTTTAGCTTGAATTTCCCTTACTTGGTTCACTGTATCTTTAATCATTTGAGGCCCTAGAATCATTGTTTCACTTATGTCGTTCCAACCAATTGGACTACGACACTTCCTCCCATATAATGCCTCAAATGGAGCCATTCTTATGCTCGCATGATAACTATTATTATAGGAAATTTCAATCAAATCCAAGCTATCCTCCCATCCCCCTTCGAAGTCTATAACACAAGCTCTCTAAATGTCCTCCAAGGTTTGAATGGTTATCTCAGTTTTCCTATCTGTAGTAGGGTGAAACGCAGTACTAACCTTAAGTGTCGTAACAAAGTTTTCCTGCACGTTTTTCAAGAATTTGGAAAGAAATCTGAAATCTTTGTCAGACACAATATCCTTTGGAACTCCATGTAACCTCACAACATTCTTTATGTAATCTTTTGCAAGTTGCTCCATCTTCCAAGTCTCCTTCATTGGTATAAACACCACAGATTTTGTAAGTCTGTCCACCACTACCCAAATGGCATCATTTCTACTCTTTAATTTTTGAAGGTAAGTGACAAAATCCATTAAAAAGCAATCCCAATTCTGTCCAAGAATTTCCAATGATTGCACAGTTCCTTGGGGCCTCTTGTGCTCTATTTTCACCTTTTGGCAATTCATACACTTTGCACAAATTCTGCAACTTTGTTTTTCATTATTGGCCACCAATACACCTTTTTCAAGTCCTTGTATAGCTTATCCCCTCTTGGGTGCACTGAATAGGGTGTATTATGTCCTTCTTCCATTAGCTTTCTCTTCACTTCCTCGCACTTTTCAGGTACACACCATCGACCTTTGTACCTTAAACTTCCATCTTCATGAATTTTTAAATATGTAGCTTTTCCTTGCTTTATTTTCTCACGAATCCTATCCAATTTCACATCTTCTGCTTGGTTTTCCTTTATCTCATCAAATATGGTTTGTTAGATAGTCAAATTCGCAAGAATTCCAGTTGGTACTCCCCATTTAATACTTTTATGTTCATTTTACTCATTTCCCTACATAACTCATCAGCCACTATCAAAGTATTCAATCCATGACTGATCTTACGACTTAGAGCATCTATAACTACATTTGCTTTCCCTTCATGATAATGTATGCCCAAGTCACAATATGTCATGTACTTCAACCATCTCCTTTAGCGAGACTTCAAATCCTTTTGAGTGAAAATGTACTTCAAGCTCTTATGGTCTGTGTAAATTCTACATTTCACTCCATACAAGTAATGACGCCAGATCTTTACTGCAAAGATAATTGCAACAAGTTCTAAATCATCGGTTGGGTAATTCACTTCATGGGTCTTTAACTGCCTTGATGTGAATGCAACCACCTTCCCATTTTACATAAGCACACAACCCAAACCATTCTTTGATGCATCACTATGCACATCATACATACCACTATCGTCTGGCAATGTAAGCACTAGTGCTGTAACCAGCTTTTGTTTCAAGAGTTGGAATGCTTCTTCACACTTATACTCTGATACCATTTTGTAACACCCCTGATTTACTAAATATTAATGAACAATAAATTAAAGAAAAAAAAACAACCTTGGAATAGAATTGCAAAAGCACCTAAATCGGAGGTATTACCGCCACATGCAACAACCTGTCAAATGTTAAGGCTTACAAAATCCCAATAAGTACAACCTAATAAATTAGGTGAGAAATTTATACAAATTTATAAACTCATTATAGCATACTAATCGATCACTTGAACTCCTTTAGCTACGATCACTTGATCAAACCTGCTTATACAAACTTGACTGCTCGCCATTAAGGACAAATTCCCAAATAGAACGTCACAGGCCCACCATAAGAAAAATACATGGCTGCAAATACAAGTAGCTGAACAAAACAAACAACACATACGTCAGCAAAAAGCTGAGTAATCATCACATATCAAAATATAAAGAACAATAGAATAATTCATATAATTAACTCACTTAAACAATGTAGTTCAAAACTACATTACATATATACACCTCAAGGGCTGAAAACATTATACTATGCCCAACCTCGAATAAAATACAATCCTTCACTTAATTAACTCATACCCAATAAGTGTGACATGCTCTTTGTTCTTTACCAAACCTTGGACATGAGTAATTCAAATATAAATTAATTAACTCATACCCAATAAGTGTGCCGTGCTCTTTGTTCTTTACCAAACCAACATGTATAAAAACTTGAATACTCTCAATAACCAGAAAAACACCTTGAACTAGACCCCATACAGGTCAATTCCCACTGTAGGGGACCATAGAAAAATAATAAATAAAGATTATACCTCATTTTTTACTCATGATCATTATCTCATTACCAACATACCAAAGACTAAGGTCTATAATGCCGAGTCTCAAACCAATAACAAAATAATTCATTCTCAACCAAAAAATAATATTGTGCATTAATAACCAGAAAACCTCAATAAAACAATACTCCCTACAAAAACAACATTAAAACCATAGAAAAATAATAACACGGTCAATCAATGCAACAAAAATGTACGATACTCAAATTCAATCAAACCATCTAATATCATAATAATTAATCATATATACAGAGTACAAATAATAAATCATATCACACATAAATATAACGCAAACATCTCCGATTTTCGTGTGATTACATATAAAAATATATCTCCGATTTTCGTGTGATTACATATAAAAATATATGAATATAAGATTCCAATGCATGAATTGATATAGTGTGAATACCTTATACTTCCTCCGTTCTTTATTACTTGACCCGCTTTGACTTTTACACTATTCACCACCCTTCCTTTGACTGTATTTTGTGAATAATATGTAAGGAAAAATATATTCATGTACGATCTTTTTGGATTCGTCTCAATATATACTATCAAAATATATAACTTTTAAAATTTTTACTTTCGGAGAATTTAAGTTATTGATTGTTAAAGTTTTGCATTGGCAAGCGTGATAAAAGAAACAGGTCAAGTAAAAAAGAACTGAAGAAGTAATAGTTATTTGGCAAAAATTAAGCAAGATAATCCACCTTCACATTAAGCAATTCACGCACATGACTTGAAAGTTGGGAGAAGGTAATTGATTGCTCAATTATATCATGGAGATTATAAGTATTTAATGAATATATGTTATTATATTGCTATAAACCCATGGACAGAAGGTGAACAGAACAAATTTTAATATTAAAGTAGAAATTTTATTAGGGTTAAAATAGTTTATATATGCTTAGAAATATAGAATTCTTAAATTAAAATTGTGTTTTAAAACCTTCCGGACTCTAAAATAAAAATATGAGCTTAGGAAAGTTATTTAATGATTAAAAATAAATAATTTTCCTTTAAAGTATATTATATAAAATCATAATATATTCGGGTATTACAATCTACCCTCCTAAAAACAAGTTTCGTCCCGAATCATAAAGTTAGGAAAATTCGGGTATTACACACATCTAGCTCTAATCTCTACTCGCTCCAACTTTATTTCTAATGGCATCCTAATTCAGATAAATAATGGAAAGACCCAAATTTTCATGAAATTTAAGCCAGGAAAAAATCAAGACATAAACAAGACAAATAACCCCACCCATAAGAGGAACATAAAAACAACCAGCAGTCACAATGAATCTACAAACAACCATGTTTTACCTAGTTTTCAGATAGGAGCAAAGCTTTAAACTGCATTAGATTTGGTGTACCATTTCAAATAGCTGGAGTACGTATTGTGGCACCGTTCATATGGAATGTGTTAATCAAACATGTTCTCCACTAGAGTTCACATCAAGTGGAAGAGGTTATTGTTTATTCTTGCTATTAGTGGAAAAAAATCTATCCGTAACGAGCAAAAACTGACCATCCGTAACAGGTAACGACCGTTACGTAGTGGTCGTTACGGATAGCAAATGTTATTTGTAACAAATACTTCCTCCGTTCTGTTAATATTGCAACAAGGAGGAAATTACGCATCCCGAAACACCTTTTATATGCTAAATATCTATAATTGTGTAAGAGTAAAAATTATAAAAAGTTGATATCGTTAAAGTATTTTATGAGACGAATCCAACACGATCCCATTTGACTATATTTTGCTTAACGTATAACTCATATTATATGGTCAAACAAGAGTGATGAATAGTGCAAAAAGTCCATTGTTGCAATATTAATAGAACGGAGGAAGTAAGTAGTTATTTGCAACGGGCAGTTATTTGCAACGAGAAAAACAAGTGCTCGTTACAAATAAGTAGTTATTCGCAATGGGCCAAACAAGTGCCCGTTACAAATAACCACGTTATTTGTAACAGACATTTCAAATTCCGTCATAAATAATCCCGTTATTTATAACGGTCATCCTAACGTCCGTTACGAATAATGGGGATATTTGTAACGGGACATGTTTTGCCCGTTACGAATACCTATTTATATGTAACAGGCATAACATCTCCCCGTTACAAATAGTGTGTAATCTATTTTTTTTTTTTTTTTTTTTAAAAAAAATCCAGCAATTGTTAGATTGCTTGCACACCATTTATCATTTAATGAAAGACATTTATATTTTATACAAATATAGTATACAATTAATAATAACTAAAACTTAAAAGAATAGCTAAACCAAATCTCAAGTACACTTATTTTTCTCTAAAGGCATTTTTGTTTTACTTATTTTTCTTTGTACATTTACGCTACCTTCATTCAAATTAAACTTAAATCCACCATAGGGGCCTTCATTTCTCTATATCTCATTGTTATCATGAATTTCTATTAAGCAGCCTCTTCCTCTTACTCCAACAATTATGTCTTGAGAATTTTCACTGCTTTCTCATAAATCTCATTGTTATCATAAATTTGAAGATTTTCAATCTTTTTCAATCCCTCGGCTTCATCCAACATCTACGCATAAAAAAATAACATCTCTAGTGGTGTCGAAATTCTTCTCAGCTTCACCTAAAGAAGATCACATAATGGCTTTATGCAGCCCTTATTTACAAGAAACCTAGAAAAAAAATAGCTAGTTTAAGGTTACATCTTGTGCATAACATACATGAGAGCATAATGCTTCAAGACAATACAAAACATACTTTATGCTATTATGTTTTACTTATTTGTCATTGTTTAGTTAATTTTATTCCAATAAAACTAGATACATAAAAATGAAACGCTAATTTTTTTTTCTGCATAACTCTATACCAAATTGTGATCTAAGTCAATGATCATATTGTGATTTAAGTACATACATAAAAATAAAACTAGATACATTAAAATGAACTTCTATTAAGCATATATGGCCAATCAGGTAGCTTATGATTATATTATGAGTTAATTCAATGACTGATCACAATGGACGGTTTCATAAACACAGTAATTTTGCAGAGTTTTTTCAATCAAAAGAGATTTTAACTCCTTAAGCCACACATAACAAATACAAAATCCAAACCAATCTAAGCTAGTAGCTTAAGTTAGACCAATCTAGTATTAAAATACAAAATGATGCAATTACTGAATAATAGGTTTAGGCGTCGCCCGAAATGCGCCTACGTTAAAGCATGTGTGAATATGCTTTGCACTCATAGAAAGTGAGAATTGACATATACGATTAGGGACAAGGAAATAGGGAGCCGCCAATAAGTTTTTAAGAAACTTGTAAACCGTTCACGGATCATAAAAAGGCAACCACGATTAAGGGACAACAAAGGCAACCACGATTAAGGGACAACGAAGGCAACAACGGTTGACCCGTGAAGGTTACACCTCTTTCATAATCCATGAGATTACTAACTCCATATGGTCCGAAACCACGAAAGGAGGATCGGGGATGATGGTACGAAGTGTGTCATGGAATCACATTCGCCCGTATTGGCCTCTACTCGATTCTTATAGTGAAAAGCATTCCTTCGATACCAAAGGCATACAAACAAAATATTCAATTTGCTCCAATCTATTATTAAGCTAAAGTGATTGAATATTAATGCAACACATAATTTTAAAATATTGGTGATCACTTGAATTAATAACAAGGTTAAAAAGGAAGCTAAACCGGTTGTCCAAATTATCTTATTAGGCGTTATTTTCAATTACATATTCCCTTTAAACATGCAATATGGTGATCATAAAATATAATAAAATAAACATTAATATTGGAAGCAATTCAACAATAAATTGTTAGTCAAACCAAATATAAAATGACCTAATCATGGTACTAACAATATTAAAATAAAATAAGTAATTAAATTAATTAATTACTAACATTCCGCGCGTTCCTTAAACTTGCTACATCATGAATAAATTGTTAGTAAATTTAAAAAAAATATAAAGCAAATGAAAATTAAATTAAATATATATAGATTTGATTTGCTCCAAACCCTCAGTTATTTATACATTTCACGCCTTGGTTTAAGGACGGAACCTCGGGTGTAGTATAGACTCTATGTAGTTCTTAAGAGAAGAATGGTGTAATCAGAAATATAGGTTTAAGGTTTAGAATATGAGAGAGACAGAGAGAGAGAGAGAGAGAGAGAGAGAGAGAGAGAAGAATAATTTTTGGTGTAAAAGAGAAGAAGAGAAAGAATTTGATGCCCCGAATTGCAGAAAGGAGGGGGGTATTTATAGGGAAAATGAGTAGAGGGAACACACGAAAACCCTAAAAAGATTATAAAAAAAAAAAAAAAAAAAAAAAAAAAAAAAAAAAACCCTAAAAAAATAACACCGCGACATGGCAGAGAACACCGTGCCACGGTGCCAGGCACCGTCAGTCGGGGCAAACTCCCGTGACACGGTGGAAAACAGTTCGACGCGGGAAATAATTAAGGTACGAGAGAGAAAACGCGTTAAGGGTTTACGCAGAAAGGACACGGAGATGCCCTGTGTCACAGCACAGGTACCATGACACGACATTGTCCACCGTGGCACGGTACTGTATACCGTGTCACGGTAAAAAAAAGTACGCGAAAATTACACGAAACATCCCCGTGTCGCGGAATGGGCACCGTGAAACGATAAATTGCATCGTGATACGATGCAAAATCCCGTGACACGATGCAAAACCCCGTGACACGGTGGATTAAATGTGCAGAATTACACAAAAAAGGCACCGTGTCACGGCAATAAGCCCCGTGACACGTCAGCATTTGCCGCGTCGCGACGTTTTAGCTGCTGCGCGATAATTCCTGTTTTTTACCCGTTTTTAAAATTATCATAACTTTTGATCTGTAACTTGGAATAAGGCATATAATATATCATTAGAAAGCATATAAAGTCTACTTTCTAACCCAATTAGAATCAGGTCAAAATGAATAGTAGATTTTACTATATGGCCGTTTTAGTGGAAGGGTGTCGGTTTTGAGCCGAGTTTAGTGTTTTGCTCATGTCTTTTTCGTCATAGTTCGAAATTGGGCTTATGACATATGATTGGAAATCTTATTTCAAGGTATATCCAAGCAAATAATAATTGGTTCAAAATTATAAGACTAAAAAATCAGTTTCTCTCGGTTTTGCGATGTGGACACGAAAAGTGGAAAATAGGTTATGGTTTAGGTAAATGAGCTCGAAATTAGATTGTTTCATGAAATATATTGGATAGAACATGGATTTAAGCACTCCAAAGATTAAATACTCAACCCGACCAATAACGGTCGTGAAAGGTGTTCATCATCGGGTTTGGTTTTCGGGATACATTTTTAGGTGTCTGCAATAGGAAACTGACATAGCTCTACAAAACACATAATAGATATATACTCTGCTCAATTAGACTAAAACAATCTAAAAGGCCAATTTAGTTTCCCATTAGATCCTGTACTTCTTCCTAGATCAAAAACTTAAAATTAAAAGGAGAATAACTATAAACAAGGATTAAAAATATAATTTCCAATTTGCACTTTCATTTATATATAAACAGAATACCAGACTAAACAAAGATACTTGACAATATAAATTCAATCACCATAAGATGAATCTAAAAGCTAACATACTTGACAAATTCTAAGAGTTTAAAATTCAATGCATATAAAAATCATAAGAAATGCGCAGGGGTTCTTGCAGGAGGCAGGGTACAACGGTTAATAAGAGCCGGTGGAAATTTAGACTAACAAATCAAATCTGCACTAATTTATAATATATATATACTACAAAAAAAAATATCACAAGCTGGTACAACACCCAACTAGGAGATGATAAGAATATCCCTATTTCAAAATGAAGTGGCACTAATATATAGGATACATAAAAAAAAGGCATATTGTTATATACCTTCTAAAAAACATCTGCCTCAAATAATCTTATTTTGAATCTCATCCAGTTTCAATAGAATCTCTGCAGGAGTTTTGTGCAATTCATTTGCAATCTTCCTCTGCATATCCATAGGTAAAGTTGGAAATTTTTCGCATAGTTTTCCATCAATCACATCCTACAAAACCAAGCAAATATTTAAGAGACCATAGGAAAATAAAAATGCTTAAAGAGAGACTGATAATGAGCAGACCATACAATCTCACCCACCTATAAACTAATTCAGCCAAGGCTCAAACAGTTATATAAGGGTCTGAAAATAAGGAATTGATAGATTAAGGTGAGGGATGTAGTGGCGAGGAAAGTAATTGGAGGTAGCCCATGATCCTGAAGCGGAAGTTTATTACTCTAGGCAGATAATTTTTTAATTTGTGTTCTTCAACCCAATCAACCATTTACTAATAAGAACCATCCATTTATTTAATTCTGATTGCCCATTTATTAATTACCTTCACCCTCACATCATCCCTTAAAGGAAATAGCTAGTAGGAGATTCAAACCATGATATGAGATTCAAAAAAGAGTGTGCCACAGATAACACAAAATATCTTAACAGATTAACACATTAGTGGAGCTCACATGATATACCAAAATAGCACCAAAGTTATTTATTAAATCTATAAGTACTAATTTATTACTCTCTGAAATACTAATAATTTTAGCATACTTGCTAAGTGGACAAGTTGGTGGTGAAACTTAATGATGATGAGTTGATGATCAATTAATTTCCTCGTCCATTATTGAAGTTATTCTCCATTCACGAACGCTACAAGACTTGAAGTACTTAACATCACAACAGCCAAAACAATTAAGAACGAACAACAGTAGCTAAACGTCCACTTAATAATATCTAAACTTGAGTTTAAACACACAACATCATAACAGCCCCAATAATTAAGAACGCGACTTATTATTTAAATCAAAATTATTCATGTAACCTAATTTTCTTCAATTTTAATTAGGTTTTAATAATCCAATTTGATATGAAATTAATTAACTGACAATACCTTAACAAGCTTTTATATCAATCAAAAGAGGTTTTAACTCGTTATGGAGCACACAACTTAATTGTCATTTCAGCAACATAAATCTCACAATAACTTACTCAAACAATAAATAATATTCAATTGCACAGAAAAAATAATCTAGCCTAGAATTTCAATCTCGAAAATTTAGATGTTCATATCAAAACCCAAAAGAATAAATTGAAATTAATCGAGAAAAAGAAGAAAAATTACTTTCACTTCTTCCTCCAAGCCTTGCTCCTGCACCTAAAGGCACGCCTATTGAGAATAAAATCACGAGATATACCTGCAACAAACGCCGCACCCCAAATCAAATAAAAAACAAAAATTATCAAAATCGAATTGAACCGCTATTAAAGCTTAACTTGAAGATAACCAATGAATGGAGATGGACGGTAATACTCATTTAGCTAATGATAGGACAGAAAACTATGGTTTGTTAGCTTTCTCTTAACGAAGAAGCGAATTTCTTCAATCTAATTGGCTTGAAAATATCAAAGAGAAATAACCACCCATAACTGCGATGTTCTTGACCCTGAATCATCACCACCCCATGTCAACTTCTTAGTAACATGATTCGTACAAAAGACAATCTAAATTGATTCCTCATCCATTGATGCGATTTATAGAAGAGAGAAGGAGGGGAACTTTGGGAATTAGGCCATTAGGGTGCTGAAATGGAGAAGGCTGAGTAAATGGAGTGAGGTGAATCAGGAGAAGATAGGGAGATTGACTGAGGGAAATGAGAAAGGAAAGAGGAGGAGAGAAAAAGGACAGGGGTTTAACAGCCAAGGAGAGTGAAGTAAAAAATTCTAATACACACTAATAAGTAATGGGCTCCTCTCATGGGCCACGTATTCGTAACGAGCATATGGTGACCATTTCAAATAATACAGTATTCGTAACGGGCAGTATTTTGCCCGTTATAAATAATATAGTATTCGTAGCGGACACATGGTGACCTTTATAAATAAATAAGTACTTGTAACCGGCAATATTCTGCCCGTTACGAATATATTTAATGTAACGAGCATAGCTTTGGCCGTTACAAATAGACCGTTACAAATGACAATATTTCCACTAAAGTGCGTGCATAACATGTTTGGAGGAAATTTTTTTCATTTACACTACAGAATGGATCATCAATTTAAATCTTCTCATTCTCTTAATTGACATTTACTTCGTCACTAAAATGGAACTTCCAATGAACATTGCAATGTAACATGTATCCTTGAGCTAATTAAGTTACAAAATTAACAATCCAAGTAAAACTTTGTCACACTCTACAAGAAAAAGGGTAATTAGCAACAACCAAAGTAGTCGCAAATCCGTCGCAAAAAAGGATTAGCAACGGATTTGCGACTACTTTGGTTAGTTGCCAAAGACCTCGTCGCAAATCCATTTTTGTGACTAATTTTTGAGCAGTTGCAAATTTAGCGACGGTTTTGCAACGCCTTTGCAACATCCATTTAGCGACTAACTTTCAAATTTTAGCAATTAATTAAATCATTGTCCGTCGTAAAATATTTGTGACTGATTAGCAACTATAGAGACCAATGTTTTACGACTACTTTTGCGACGGATTAGCGACTACAAGACCAAACTTTTGCAACTACGAGACAGGGAGACTACACATATTAGTTTTATTGCGATAGATTTGCGACTACTGAGACTAATTTTTTTCGCGACGGATTAGCAACTACTTACGAGACCAAACTTTTGCGACTACAAAAGTAATTATTTGTGACAAATTAGCGACTATTGAGACTAATGATTTTGCAACTAACCAATCAATCTGTAAACCAAATTTGCAGTCGCCATCACTCAATCACTTAGCATTCGTGTTTCTCAGGCACGGTACCAAGCACTCAATGAGAAACGCAATTTGAGACATGTTCATATCGGAGACATTGGAACACTTGCCTTTAGACATTGTTTTTTTTTATTTTTTTTTATTTACTTATTCTTTTCTCTCTCTTTTTTTTTATTTGAACTTGTTTTCTTATTGTTACACATATTGCACACTTTCCCATCCCAGGGTTAAGTGAATGTAGGTTGAATAAATAAGGTCAATCGTTAGACGAGGCTCAAAGTGGTTGACGAAGAAATGAATATGTGATTGAATGGTTAATAGGGAATGACAGGGTTCCAAAGGTGCCTCAAGTCATTGGTGTACCTTGTGTTTAGTTCGGCAATTTTTTTTTTTTTGATAATTACGGGATCGAATGCAAGAAAGAGATGCTCATTTATGAAGAAGGTAAGAAATGTGACACATAGACACATGGATAAAGAGAACCTATGCTAGACTTTTAGGGGGAAGAGTTTGAAACAAAAGAAGAAGAAAACATGAAATCTTGGTGAGAAGCTTGCATTGTGCTTTATCTTCATGGCTGTGATGAGTAACTTCTTGCCACCTGGTGAGGAAAAAAGTTTCTTGTTGTTGATGTTTTGATTGGAAGGAAAGAAGGAAGGAGTGATGTTCCCCTTATTCTTCCAACTATTGCCTAGTGATTTTAGACTCAAGTATTGTGTAAGAATGAACTCACTTAATGCATTCACTCAATACTCGATTTGGAATGGAAGAGTGTATGAAACAATTTTGAAAACTGATGGGAAATACTCCACTCATCCCTATTACGACGGAAAGCGATGCATGCATGATCCTAGTATACGATCATAAACAATATAGTGCATTACTCGAAGACAAAGTGTGTGCAATGACTCAACATGTGTGATTAGGTGAGTTTATTAAGACTCGTGGTATGATCGCATGGCTAGACATGAGGACGTTGTGAAAAACAAAGGACCCAATAACCAAATAGCATGGAAGACTAAAAGATAAACTAACTTGATTAATTTTGTCCAATTTTAATGTTTATGCTATTTACTAGGTGAAAACGGTCCATTGACAATCGTTAGTCATAAATAAGATCAACCACAATCAAAGACAAAGAACACATGTTAAGGTTAACACAAAAATCGATCACAAGAAACTAGGAAGAGGACTAGAATTCTAGAAGAGTTATGACTCATGGGTATAAAAAAATAAAAAAATAAAAAATTCTGTAATCCTATGTTATACGAGTTGACACGGATTAAAGGACTTGGCTAAGACTAACGTTAAAAAGACACATAAACTGGACAGGTTGTAGTATATCGGTTATAACTTTTGATCTCTGACTCTGATTAGGACGAAACTAGCTCCAAATGAAAGATAAAACTCGGGGCTAAAGATCCATAGTTTTTACGGCACGTAACTCTTTCTAGAACTCCAGATATGACCAAAACAAGTTGACTATTGTGCAGTATACGGGAATAAAAATCCGGGTGACTCAAAAATTAAAAAAAATCTATGACTCGACTCTAAAAAAAAAGGGTTTAATAAAAAAAAAATTAAAAAAATCAATAAAAAAATGCACACATAAGCACATCGTCACGAATGATGCAATGAAGTTTGCAACCTAAAGTCAAGATCTATGTTCCACTATGGTCAAGCTTTTGAGTGTCAAAGGGTACCATGGTTAAGAGTTTGGACGCGTTAGCAAGGCATCCTCCCTTGAGGGTGTATGCCAACGGGCGGCTCCGCGAGTTCGTGATGAAATCAAACTCGACTCCATGGTTTTGGTGGATTTAAAAACTCGGATGAACCCTTATTGCCATGAGCTTTTTCAGGTTGATAGAGCTTAAATCCCCTGGGCTAGCCACATACGTAGAACACGTACTGTTGTGGCAAAATAGGTGACTTGCATATGCATATGTGACAATGCCAATTAAATCGCAGGAATACAATTCAAGAATCTTTCAAGTCTCATCCACTCATCTCAATTAAATACCAATCACTCAAATAGATAAATAACCAAGAATCCTCCCCAGTGGAGTCGCCAAATTGTAGGCGTCGCTCGAAGTGCGCCTACGTTAAAAGCATGTGTAAATATGCTTGGCACTCTTAGGAAGTAGGAATTGACATATACGATTAGGTACAAGGAAAGTAGGGAGCCTCCAACAAGTTTTTAAGGAACTTGTAAACCGTCCACGGATCATTTAAGGCAATCACGAATAAAGGGACAACGATAGGCAACAACGATTGACCCGTGAAGGTTACACCCCATTCATAATCCATGAGATTACTAACTCCATATGGTTCGGAACCACGAAAGGAGGATCGGGGATGATGGTACGAGGTGAGTCATGGAGTCACATTCGCCCGTATTGGCCTCTACTCGATTCTTATAGTGAAAAGTGATTCCTGCGATCTCAAAGGCATACAAACAAAATATTCAATTTGCTCTAAACTATTATTATGCTAAATTGGTTTAATATTAATGCAACACATTATTCTAAAATATTAGTGATCACTTGATTAAATAACAAGATTAAAAAGGAACCTAAACCGGTTGTCCAAATTATCTTATTAGGCGTGATTTTCAATTACATATTCCCTAACATGCAATATGGTGATCAAAAAAATAATAGAATAAACATTAATATTGAAAGCAATTTAACAATGATAACATTAGTCAAATCAAATATAAAATAATCTAATCATGATATTGGCAACAAGAATAAAAATAAGAGTAATTAAGTGAATAATTACTCACTTTCTGCATTTCCTTGAATTGCTACATCATGAATAAACTGTTAGTAACTTCAATAAAAATATAAATAAAATGAAAATTAAATTAAATAAATGTAGATTTGATTTGGTCAATACCCTCAATTATGTGTACCTTTCACACCTTGGTTTAAGGACGGAACCTCGGGTTAAGTATAGACTCCTTGGAAAGCTTAGGGAAAGAATGATGTAATTAGGAATATAGGTTTAAGGCTTAGAATATGGGAGAGAGAGAGAGAGAATGATTTTTGGTGTAAAAGAGAGAAAGAGAGAAGTATTTGATCATGAATCTTGTTCATTGGAAAAGGGGTGATATGATCTCTATTTATAGAGAAAAAATAAGGGTCGAAAAATTAAGATAAGATCCGAATTAAATCGGAATAAAACTCGATAGACTGCAGTTTTTGTGGTTTTTGTTTTTATCATATCTTTTGATCCAGAAATCGGAATAAGATGAATAAGATATCGTTAGATATATCTTGAAGTCTACTTTATAACCCAATTAGAATCAGATTAAAATATTTTATATAATAAAAGATATGTCCGAAATAGTGAGACGGTGTTAGTTTTGGATAGAGTTTGACATTTTATTCATATCTTTTCTGTTATAGCTCGGAATTTATATTATAATATATCATTGGAAAGATAATTTTAAGGGCTATCCAACCACATAAAATTTGGATAAAAACTATGAGTCACGAAAATAATATCTGTCTATCTTTGAACATCTTTCAATTCGGATAGAAATAGAATTTTCAAAAAGAAAAGTTTTATTCAATTTCAAACTCTTTAATCTTATCTTTTCAAAACGGATAATTAAGATCTTTTAGAAACTTGTAGAAGCTTCTAATTAATCCTAATTGGTTTAGGAATGGGATTAAATAATTTGGACCCTCCACATGATCATTGGGTCGTAGGTAAGGTGGGCTTAGGTTTGGTTTGGGCTCAGTTTAATATTTTGGTCATAACTTATTCGTTATAACTCAGATTTGGGCTTATAATATATCGTTGGAAAGTTCTTTTCAAACCCCATCCAACTATTCAGTCATTGGACCCAGATTATGGACCAAAATAAATTGGATGAAATGTTTTTATAAAAAGCACACGAAATGAATGATTTTAAAGGGCATGAAATGAATTATTTTGGGTTTAAAGGCACGAAAAGAGGAAAATAAGTTATGGTTTGGGGAAATG